ACCAATGGACATAGACAACAAAGCTGGGGAGGGGGGGAGGGGGAGGAGGGTGTCAATGGGGGAAAAGGAGAAACATCTGTAACAAAAACAAATTAATAAAAAAATAAATTAAAGAAACACAGGAGAATTTGGCAATGAGTCTTATCATGAGAAAACATCAGACTATTTCCAATAGAGGGGCATTTTCCAAAATACCTAATTAGTGGTATTCAAACTGTTAAGATCAACAAAAAACAAGGAAAATTTTAGATACGGTCACAGCCAAGAAGAACCTAAGGAAACATGGTGAGTAAATGGAACGTGCTAACCTAGAACAGAAAAATACATTCGTTAAAATTAAGGAAATTTTATTATTGAGTTGTATGATTTCCTTATATATTTTGAATATCAACCTCTTGATATAACCAATAAATGGTTATATCATTTGTGAATATATTCTTCCATTCAGTAGACTGTCTTTTCATTATATTGTTTCCTTCACTGTGCAGAAGGTTTTCAGTTTGATGTCAAATAGTTTACTACCTGTTTTCTTTTTTTAATATGTTTTTATTGATTAGGAAAAAATTTTTTCTTTATTGATTTTAGAGAGAGAGGAAAGGAGAGGGAGAGATAGAAACATTGACGAGAGAGAACATTGATTGGCTGCCTCCTGCATGCCCCCACTGGGGGTTTGGCCCACAACCCGGGCATGTGCCCTGACCGGGAATCAAACCAGGACCTCCTGGTCCATGGGACAACGCTCAACCCACTGAGCCACACCAGCCAGGCACTACCTGTTTTATTTTTGTATATGGTATAAGAAAATATTTGACAAAAAAATGGGCAGAGGACCTGAAGAGACATTTTTCTAAAGAAGACCTCCAGATGGCCAACAGATATATAAAAAGATGTTCAGCCCTGGCCAGTGTGGCTCAGTTAGTTGGAGCATCATCCCGTAGACCAAAAGGTGACGGATTCGATTCCTGGTCAGGGCACATGCACAGGTTGCAGGTTTGATCTCCGGTCAGGGTGCATATGGGAGGTAACTGATCAATGTTTCTCTCTCACATTGATGTTTTTCTCTCTCTTTCTCTTTCTCCCTTCTTTCCTCTTTCTCTAAAATCACCTTTTTTTTTCTCCCCACTCCACTCCCTTCTAAAATCAACTTTTAAAAAGATGTTCCATGTCACTAATCAGGGAAATGCAAATCAAAATCACAAGATGCCATCTCACACTAGTCAAATGGCTACTATCAACACGTCAACAGGAGCAGAGAAAAGGGAACTCTTATGCACTGTTGGTGGGACTGCAAATCAGTACAGCCATGTGACCAGTGTGGCTCAGTGGACTGAGCATCATCCCATGGACTGAGAAGTCCTGGTTCAATTCCCGGTCAGGGCACATACCTGAGTTGCAGGCTCGATCCCCAATAGCTGGTGTACAGGAGGCAGCCGATAGATGTTTCTTTCTTTCCTTTCTCTCTCTAAAAAAAAAAATATATATATATATATATATATACACACATATATATATATAGTTATTTATACACACACACACACACACATATATACATATATATATATATATTTTTAACTAAAAATTGATCTACCAGCCCTGGCCGGTTTGGCTCAGTGGTTAAGAGCATCAACCTGTGGTCCAGAGAGACCCAGGTTCGGTTCCCGCTAGGGCCCATACCTCAGTTGCAGTTTGTCTCCGGCCCTGGTTGGTCTTGCAGGTGGCAACCACTCGATGTGTCCCTTTCACATAGATGTTTCTCTCTCTCTCTTCCTGTCTCTCCCTACCACTCTATATGAACAAAAAATGGAAAAAATGTCCTCGGGTGAGGATTAAAAAAAATTTTTTTGATCTACCATATGGCCCAGCAATTCTACTTCTGGGTATTTATCCAAAGAAAACAACACTAGCCCTGGCCTGTTTTGCTCAGCGGTTAGAGCATCAGCCCGCAGACCAGAGAGTCCTGGGTTCGGTTCCCACTAAGGGCACGTACCTCGGTTGCAGTCTATCCCCGGCCCCAGTTGGGGTCGTGTGGGTGGCAACCAGTTGATGTGTCTCTCTCACAGCAATGTTTCTCTCTCTCTCTCTTCCTCCCTCCGGCTCTGTCTGAAGATAAATGCAAAAATGTCCTCGGGTGAGGATAAAAAAACAATATTAATTTGAAAAAAATACTGTATATGCACCCCTATGTTCACTGCATATATAGAAAAATGAATAAAGAAGATGCGGTTCATATATACAATTAAATATTACAATAAAAAGAATAAAATCTTGCAATTTTTGACAACATAAATGGACCTAGAGGGTGTTATGCTAAGTGAAATAAGTCAGGCAGAGAAAGACAAATACTGAATGGTTTTCATATGTGGAATCTAAAAAATACCAGCCCTAGCCAGTATGGTTCAGTTGGATGGGTGTCATCCCATGTACCAAAAGGTTGTGGGTTCAAGTCCCAGCCAGGGCACATGCCCCATCTGGTTTGGCTCAGCAGTTAGAGTGTAGGCCCTCGAACAGAAGGGTCTTGGGTTTGATACCCATCAAGGTCGATCCCTGGCTCTGGTCTAGGAGGCAACCAATTGATATGTTTCTCTCACATCGATGTTTCTCTCTCTCTTTTTCTCTCCCTCCCTCCCTCCCTCCATCCATCCCACTCTTTCTAAAAATCAATGGAAAAATATCCTTGGGTGAGGATTAACAATAAATAAATAAAATAAAGTCTGAAGTAATCAGATTCTTGGACTAGGAGCTCACATCCATCAGCTCCTTCACCTTTAGCACATGTCTCATCCCCAGTAGCTTTTGCAGATCTGCTGTCCTCACTGTGAAGCTGAGTGTTCCCAGTTCAGACTTGGGCTTCTTTGGCATTTGACTTTTTTAGCAGGGATATCATGGAGCAGATAAATAGACTGGCAACCTTTCTGTGTCTTTTCCAATGCTATCTGGAATCAGTTTATTGACCACTTTTTCCAAGTCATTTGCACTCTCAGATCATGATTTCCATCATCTTCCAGATTTGGCGGACCTGTTGATGAGTATAAGAGGTCTTCTGAATCTGATTTTTTTTTTTACTAAAACCAACACAGAACAGATGAAGCAAATAACCATCAGTAGTCTTGAAATCCACATGAGCTTCAGTCATGTTTTGCCTTTTATTTATTTATTTATTTTTTAATCCTCACCCTAGGATATTTTTCCATTTATCTTTGGATAGAGTGGGAGGGAAGGAGGAGAGAGAAAGAGAGAGAGAGAGAGAGAGAGAGAGAGAGAGAGAGAGAGAGAGACCTAGATGTGAGAGAGAAAACAGACTGGTTGCCTCCAGCGTGACCCCGACCAGGGCTGGAGACCAAACTGCAACTGAGGTACGTGCCCTTAACTGGAATCGAACCCACAACTCTTCTGTGGGCCGATGCTCTAACCACTGAGCAAAACTGGCCAGGGTGAGGTCTGCCATTTTTTTTTACCATGGAGCACATTTTGTCACAAGTAGGATCCATGTCATGGAAATTAGGCAGCTTTTGCCCTGAACATCCTCAGTAATTTGGATTTTCTAACTGTAATTTCATCATTCTGCAGATCAGCTGGGGTCGCTTGAAAAACACAACCCTTGAGACCATCAGAAGCAGTTTTGGTTCCCTGGGTTCTCGTGACGAGTGTTTTTCCAATATTTCTCATATTGATGAGGCCGGTGCTTTCACATCACACCAGTCTTTCTTAAAGAATGGATCACTTTATTCCCGGCCCCCTTTCGGCCACCTTTCCTGAGGTGCTTGTTCTTGCACCCTATGGTGCTGCCCAGAGCCAAAAGGCTGTGAGTAGGTTCTTAACTACACAATCTTTAAATCTTATGGAGAAAACCTTACTTACACATTGCCTTTAGATATGCATGTTAGTTTACATTACAAACAGGTCTCTAAGGGAAAATGTTAACACAAAACACTTTAGTGGTTTCTGACTAGTAAGTGGAGTTCAACTAATTAGGTTGCAGAGTAAAGGTGTAGTTCGTTAGAAGCTCGGATAAAATTAACCTACTGCAACGTTTACAACTGTAATAAACAAAGCTTTCTACCACAAATATTTTCATTCTCATGGTTACAAATCCACAGCCTTTGGCATTATTAGAACAAATCTTGTAGTGTTACAGAGTTCTTTGCCCTTTTTTTTTTTTTTTTTTTTTTTATCCTCACCCGAGGACATTTTTCCATTTTTTGTTCAGGTAGAGTAGGAGGGAGAGAGAGGAACAGAGAGAGAGAGAGAAACATCGACGTGAAAGGAACACATCGAGTGGCTGCCACCCGCCCAACCGACCAGGGCCGGGGACAAACTGCAACCGAGGTATGTGCCCTTAGCGGGAACCGAACCCGGGTCTCTCAGGACCGCAGGCCGATGCTCTAACCGCTGAACCAAACCGGCCAGGGCTCTTTGCCCTTCTTAGCAAGTGGAGAAGCAATAACTCAACCTTTTAATAAGTTACAGAAAAAGCATTACGTTATTTTATGGTAAAATAGTCCCTCTTTTTTCAATCTAACAAGATGGTAGTAGGTGAATCACAGCTTTGGGGTCTCAGCCATTGTCTCACCCTTCATTACTGTGTTAACTGAGGCTTTATTTAAAGCCTCTGACTCTGGATACGTTTTCCAGCCAAGACGCTAAAGAGAGAGGGTTCCTACTGCTGTTTCTGCAAGAACCCTGCAAGAGGGGAACTGTATTTTAGACGGGAAATAGCCGAGGTAGGATTCAACCCACGTGAATGACTGCGGAGCCGCTGCCCTTTCACCTCTTACTTGGGATCGTAACATTCCCTCTGTGACGCGGCGACACAGATTCTGGAGGGGGCCCGGCTGGGCCTTGCGGCTGCTGGCCAGCGGCGCCGAGCGAACCGAAAGCCCGGCGTCGGCGAGCCTGAGCCCCGCCCCCTGGGCAGGAGACGGGCCGGGAGGCGGGGCGGGGGCGGGGTCTGCGGCCGCGGGAACCCTGAGCCCGCCCCCTTCCCCACCCCTCGGTTTCTCGCCATGGCCCCTGCACTGCTCCTGGTCCCTGCCGCCCTCTCCTCTTTCATCCTGGCCTTTGGCACCGGAGTGGAGTTCGTGCGCTTCACCTCGCTTCGGCCTCTTCTTGGAGGGATGCCGGAGTCAGGTGGCCCAGGTGCGCGGGAGGGATCGAGGATGAGCTCTGGGGTAGGGAGGTGGAGCCGGAGGAGAGGGAGCGGGGCGGGGCTTGGGGGCGAACGGCCGGGGAAGTCCGGGAGAGGAAACTGGAACCGAGACAGGCCCAGAGGAGCTGCAGGAGAGACCTGAGCGCTGCTTTAGGAAAGCAGGGATTAGCGGTTTGCAGAGGCGGGACAGCGAGGACTGAGGCCAAGGGGAAGGGCGATAAGCAGAGTATGCTGAGAAAAGTGCTTTGTAGACAGGACGATGGAGAGGAGAGTGTTAAAAAAGGGAACAGTTGGACAACTGAAATAAGAGGGGCAAGGGTGGCTTCTCCTGCCCTGCCTTTGTGACTGCCCAGCAGGATCCATCTGAAGGAGGCCTGGGAAAGAGGAGAAGCGGAATGGGGAAGTGAGGTGAGCAAAACCTAGAGAGGAAGCACTAAGGCTCTTGAACGCATTAAGGGACATGGCCTGGCACCCCAAGAGAAGATGAGGGTCAGGGATATTTCCTTCCATCTTCCTGTTCTTTTCTTTCTCCAACTCCCCCTAGATGGCCACCAGGGCTGGCTGGCTGCCTTTCAGGACCGCAGCATTCTTATTCCCCTGGCTTGGGATCTGGCGCTCCTGCTGCTATTTGTGGGGCAGCACAGCCTCATGGCAACAGAGACAGTGAAGGTGTGGATGTCCCAGTACTTTGGGGTTCTTCAGAGGTCACTGTATGTGGCGTGCACTGCCCTGGCCTTGCAGGTAGGTATGAGGCCCTGGAAGCTGAGTCCCTAAGGGAAGCTGGGAAGGATGCCTAGACTGCAGGGGCAAGGACAAAAGTGTGGGTTTGGGAGAACTGAGGATGTTCAGGACTGTAATCTCAGCTTCCATTCCTCCATAGCACATGCCCTAATTTTTTTTTAAGTTTACTGATTTTTTTTCTTTATTGATTTTTAGAGAGAGAGGAAGGGAAAGGGAGAGAGATAGAAACATCGATGAGAGAGGACATTGATTGGCTGCCTCCTGCACACCCCCACTGGGGATTGGGCCCACAACCCAGGCATGTGCCCTGACTGGGAATTGAATCGAACCGGCAATCATTTGGTACATGGGATGATGCCCAACCTATTAAGCCACACTGGCCAGGGTCATAGCCTACTTTTTATCAAGACGGATGCACTGCTTCTCATTCCCCAAGCATGCCCACCATGTGCATTCTCACCTCTGCACTTTGTTCATGCCCTGCTTGAGATTCTCTTAACTCTTCTTCAGCCCTACCCTTTCTTCAAAACCAAGAGAAGCCTTCCCAGTTAGTACTTGTCTGTCTTCTCGGTGGGTGGTGGACATAGGCTACTCTGCACTTCTCTGGTCACCCTCATCCATCCTGTGAGTTCTCTAGGGAGACACGGGTCATTCTTACATCCTTGGGACCCCACCCAGCTCCCTCCACATGCTGAATATTTGTTGGTGATACTCATGGTAAAGGTGAGGAGAGCTGCAAGCTGGTCTGGGGTGGGGCAGCCTCTGGGTCTAGGTCTCCCAGCCCCCCATCCTTCCCCAGCTGGTGATGCGTTACTGGGAGCCAGTTCCCAGAGGCCCTGTGTTGTGGGCAGCTCGGGCAGAACCATGGTCCACCTGGGTGCCCCTCCTGTGCTTTGTGCTCCACGTCATTTCCTGGCTTCTCATCTTCAGCATCCTTCTCGTCTTTGACTACGCCGAGCTCATGGGCCTCAAACAGGTGAGGATCCCAGATCCCTACCTTTGATCCTTTCTAGAACACCTCTTACCTTTCCAAGGATTTCCCCCCTCCTCCTTCCATGCTCTTCTACCTTCCTCTTGCTTTTGGCTTCCTTACCTGCCTTTCTTGTATGATAGTTTCCCCTTAGCCCTTCCTCAAAGGCCAAAACCATGGGCCCCCTCAGCCTGTGCAAGGTTCATGGCCCAGAGATGAGGGTCAGGGGCCCAAGACTTAAAAGGGTGGTTCCTGGGCCTGAGTTATAGAAGAGGGGTACCGGAAGGGAAGGAAAAGGTGGCTAAGTTGTGAAAAGGGCTTGACTCCATCTCTAAGCTGTTCTCTTTCTCCTAGGTGTACTACCACGTGCTAGGGCTGGGTGAGCCTCTGGCCCTGAAATCTCCCCGGGCTCTGAGACTCTTCTCCCACCTGCGCCATCCAGTGTGTGTAGAGCTGCTGACGGTGCTGTGGGTGGTGCCCACCCTGGGCACTGACCGACTCCTCCTTGCTCTCCTCCTTACCCTCTACCTGGGCCTGGCTCATGGACTTGACCAGCAAGACCTTCGCTACCTCCGGGCCCAGCTGCAAAGAAAACTCCACCTGCTCTCCCAGCCCCAGGAGGGTGAGGCTGAGTGAGGAGTTAACCCTGGTTTTAAGCCCTGTATTTTCTGTCCCCCTCAGAATTCAAATCCCCTGACATCCAGGCCCTGGCTGGTTCAGAACAGAGGCCCATGTCCCATGCACTCCACTCCCTGGTCCATCTCCATACCCTAAATTCTGAGTTTCAGGACTCCAAAGTCCACTTCTCACCAGCCAGGAAGAGGAGGAGGAGAACTTATAGTTCTCAGAGTTTAGGGCTTGACACCCCCTCCCCAACCTCTTCAAAAGGAGAAGGGTCCCTCCTGACCACTCCCCTGGCACAGTTAACTTGCCTCTGCACCTCAAGGATCCCCTTTTCCACTTCTCGCTTGCGCTCCTAGGAGCTGTATCAGGGTCTGCAAGTTTGACAGTAGTGGCTGCCCCTCCGAGCTCCAGGTCTTGCAGCCAGCTCCGCCGCCCCACTGGCCTCTTCACCTCCTTAGGCCCCGCCCTGGGTTCCGTCCTTGAACTTAGTTTCGAGGATTCTCCCGCTCTTAATTCGGCTGACTAAGGGCTCTCTGTCCTCCCGAGAAACACGCGCCGCAGGAAAATAAATTTCATCCTGGTTTTTCTACATATTGTGCGCAGTTTGTCAGTGTGCCTTAGGCTGCGGGGCAGAGTTCGGGGAGGAAGGCGAGCCCGAGCCTGAGCGCGCCAAACTCGAGTCTGGACAGCCACCGCCCCCTCTGGCGACCGCTGGGCGGCGGCCACTCCCGGGGAACCCACGCCCACCTTTCCGGCGCAGCCCAGTCCCCCTTCCTCCACATCTCCCTACGTCCTCGATGCAGACCATGGGACCCACGGGAGACAGGAGCTAAAAGAATGGGCAGCAGCTCCAGAAGGGAAGCGAGCTTCCAAAGCTGCTGGCTTCCGAGCGACTCTCCTGCCTCCCTCGTCTTCACAGATCCCACTGCCTGGCGGTGGCCGGGGACCCAGCAGCGACTAAGACTGGCTCGGGAGGCCAACGCGTGGGGAGGAGAGGCAGGAGATGGGAAGGGCGGGCCCAGCACCGAGCAGCTGCTGCTTCCTCCCCAAGTCCCTCGAGGGGCCTGAGTCACGGGCCACCGCCCTGGATCGGCGGGCTGGGGGTGGCGGGTGTCTGGACACCTGGGTTTCCAAGGCTACCAGGCAGGAGCGGGTGAGGGACCCAGAGCAAAGGGTCAGGGTGGCGGCAGGAGAAGGAAGCCAGGAGCTCAGTTCCACGCGGGGTCTGCGGGAGCGAGGCCCCGCCCCTCCTCGGGCTCCGCCCCGCGCCCCCTTCCCTCTCCCCATTGTCCTCAGACAAAGCGGTCGCCGCCCCCTGTCCGGCCCGAGGTCTCTGTCTTCGTCCCTCCTCCAGGGCCCCCTCTTTCACAACTCCTCCCCCTCCTCCCCTCCCTTCTGTCTCCGGATCTCCCTCGATCCCTCTCTCCTCCTCTTCCTCTCGCCTCCTCTCCGGACGCCTGGCTCCTCCGCACCCCCTCCCCTGGGATCCCCGCAGCGTGTGAGTTGATTGAGGGCTTCAGCCTGGGCGAGGGCCTTCGCCTCGCTCGGGCCCCTGGCTCGGACCGTGGGCTGCCCCCTCTTTGTGCCCAGATTGTCTGTCAGTGCGGCCCGCGCGGGCGGGGATGGCTGGCACTGTCGGTGTTCCGTGAGAGCCGAGAGCCGGCCCAGGCGCGCGGGCTCCGGAGAGAAGAGGCTCGGAGCCGACCCTCCGCGCTCCTGGGCCCGGGCACAGCCGGTGGGGGAGGCAGGTGGCGGTGACGCACTGCGGTGGGGGTGGACGCCAGGGTTCTGGGAACCCGCTGGCAGCTCCAGCGCCGGGTTCTGAAAGTCCCGGGGGAAGGGTTTTTCCCCTGGCCCGCCCTGGGGCGGAGGTGGGGCGGGAGGCGGGGCCCGAGCGCAGCTGGAAGGGGAGCCTGGACCCCGGGGCCCGCGCCGACACGCGCCCGGCTGTATCCACGGAACTCCTTTCCCCTGCTCCCCTGGACTTCTCCCCTCTCCGGCTCTCCTCACTTCCCTGACGCCCGCTCCAGTCCCGTTGCCCCCTCCGGCGGGATTTCCTCATCTCGGTCCCCACTCTCACTGCCTCAGGGGCAGCGGTGAGGCCAACTCACCCCAACCCCGTCTCCCTGACCCACAGCCTCTTTCCTCTCTTCTGCCTCATACCAGCTTCTCTTCTCGCCCGCCTCTGTTCCCACGCCCTTGGTACCCTCTCTGACATGCACTAACCCCGAACTGCCAAATCGGAATCTTCACTCTTCCTTTGCTTCATCCCCCTCCCCCGTCTACTTGGCCCATAGACTTTTCTTCCCTTTCTTGGTTTCCCCTTACTCTGCCCTGCCTCATCTCCCTCTTTCCCTCTGTCCCCTCCCTCTCAGCTCCTCTGCCCTTCTCTGGGTCCCACCTTTCCCCTCCTCTTTCTCTCCACTCATTCCCAAGCTCTGTCCCCTGGGCCTCACAGCAGCAACTCCTTCCTGTTCTCTGCTCCCAGTGCTCCCTACCCTCTTCTCAAGGCGACTATGGCCACCATCCCCGACTGGAAGCTACAGCTGTTGGCCCGGCGCCGGCAGGAGGAGGCAGCCATTCGGGGCCGAGAGAAGGCAGAGAGGGAGCGACTGTCCCAGATGCCAGCTTGGAAGCGGGGGCTCCTGGAGCGCCGCAGGGCCAAGCTTGGTCTGTGTCCTGGGGAGCCTAGCCCTGTGTCTGGGACTACAGAGGCTGGACCTCCTGACCCAGACAAGTCTGCCGTCCTTCTGGAGGCCATCGGCCCAGTGCACCAGAACCGATTCATTCGGCAGGAGCGCCAGCAGCAGCAGCAGCAGCAGCAGCAGCAGCAGCAGCAGCGCCGCAGTGACGAGCTACTTGCTGATAGGAGGTCTGGGCCTTTGGAGGCCCGGGAGTGGAGACCCAGCCCTGGAGAGATGCGGGATCCAAGCCCCAAGGGAAGAGAGTCAAGGGAAGAGCGGCTCAGTCCCAAGGAAGCCAGAGAAAGGAGGTTGGGGGTAGGGGGAGCCCGAGAGTCAAGCCTCAGACCTTTGGAGGCTTGGGACCGGAGGCAGAGCCCAGTAGAGGCTGGAGATAGGATCTCTAGGCCGTCAGAAGTGCAGAAATGGAGGCTGAGTCCCGGACTGGCAGAGCCTCAAGAACAAAGCCTCAGGAGAAAAGAGGTGGTAGAAAGTAGACTGAGCCCAGCGGAGTCTGACAGCCAGCAGTTCGGCCTGACAGAGGCCCATAAATGGACGCCCGACTCCACAGAGTCTCAGGAACAAAGTTTGATACAACTGGAGGCATCGGAATGCAGGCTGAGTTCAGGAGGAGAAAGAAAAGACTGCTCAGAGGAATGTGGGAGAAGAGAAGACAGGCCAGCTCCAAGGATGGCCCCAGAAGAGACCACAGGGCTGTTGGAGACCCTGCCGCGCCAGGCTCCAGACAGCAGCTCTGAAGGAGTGCAGGCAGCAGGGCCAAGCCCCAGCCCCGCGGATGGTGAAGGGGACCCGAGACTGACAGAAGGGTGGAAATGGACCCTGCACTCTGGGAAGGTTCGAGAATGGACACCCAGGGACACAGAGACTCAAACTCAGAAGCCAGCCCCTTCAGAGTCTGCTGAGAAGCATCTGGGGCCTCTTGATACAGAGGCTGGAGAAGGGGAGGCTGAAAAGGAGGATGTGGAGGCTCAGGGCAGGCCTCTGAGCACCCTGCAGAACCGCGGCTCTGTGCCCTGCCCCCTCCCACCAGAGGGCGCTGGGACTGGAGGCTCTAGACCTCAGGAAGAGGAAGCTGTAGAACTCCGGCCTCCACCCCAAGCCCCTCTGTCTCCCCCACCCCCAGCCCCACCTACCCCCCAGTCCTCTGGGGATCCCCTCATGAGCCGGCTGTTCTATGGGGTGAAGGCTGGGCCAGGGGTGGGGGCCCCCCGCCGCAGTGGACACACCTTCACAGTCAACCCCAGGCGGTCTGCGCCCCCTGCAGCCCCTGCCACTCCAGCCACCCGCGATGCTGCTGTTCCCGGGGCTGGGAAGAAGCGGTACCCGACTGCTGAAGAGATCTCGGTTCTGGGGGGCTACCTCCGCCTGAGCCGCAGCTGCCTTGTCAAAGGGTCCCCTGAAAGGCACCACAAACAGGTAGGGAGCAGCCAAGCCAGACTGCTTAGAAGCCCACTCGACTGTTCCTTCTAGGCCCCGAACCCCACTTCTTTGTGCCCCAGTACCCTGGTCTTCCTCTGTTGAGTCCTGCTGCCACTTTCCTCCTCTGCAGACACGCTCCTCCTTCTTGTAGCCTTTTCCATTCACTTCCAAGCCTCCAGGGTCCTGCCCACAAGCCAGTGCTGGCCCTGGGCGGGTCTCTCAGCGTGTGCCCGGCTGCTCACCCTCCACTCCCTTGGGCTCTGAGCCCCCTCCCCACTTTTTTCCTTACTTTTCTCTGAGTCTGTGACCCAACCCAGCCCATCTGGTGGGAGACAGGCCACCAGCCTCGACCCTATAATAGCAGGGTCACCAAGTTGACAGCCCTTACAGCTTTCCAAGGGGAGAATGTGGGGCAGGAACCTGGGGGGTATGGAAGAAGTGGTTTTGGAGTTCTAGGGAGAAATGGAAGGAAGAAGTGAGTGGAGGAAGGTCTCAGAGTTCCAAGGCGGAGGGTACAGAGCTGAGTAGGGCCGTCCTAGGATGGAGGAGGGGTGGGGAATGAAACAGGGCTGGCCAAAGAGCAAGTCTGCCCATGGGAGAGATGCACACAGAGGCCATTTAAAGTAGATGACCTCGGGGTTGCACACCCCCCGCTGGGCCACTGCTTCAGACAGTGCTCCCTTCTCTCTTGGGACAAGAAAAGCCTTTTCCTCTTCCAAAATGCCCCTCCTTGCCCTCCCCGCCTTCCTCCTGGCCTGCCCTCCCTTCTCAGGACTGGCTCAGCACTTGGTTTTCCCCTCTCTTCCTGCCACCCTGGCCTCTCCCTCCCCTTGGGGTAGAAAAAGAGAAGTGAATTTGGAAGCACTACTGAGAGCAGGGAGCCTAGTGGGAGGTGAGGGCGGGGTGGGGGCTGAGGCCAGCAGAGGCTTAGAGGTTAAAGTGGACTCTAGCCTTGACCTAGTCCCTTCCCTTCACACCAGCCTGAAAATCTCTCAGGGAAGAGAGGTCCCCACACCTCACACGTCCCCAGAGAATGGGAAGCCCTTCCTCGTCTCCAGTCCTCACCCCACAGTGACGTCCTCAGATCTGGTTTCTCTGTCCTCTGCCAGTGGGAAGCCACAGGGATCAAAGACCTAGGTTAAGCTTGGGGGTCATTTGATCCCTCCATTCATCATCACAAGAAGCTTAAGCTCACATCCCCGCGTGGTGTCTGAGTCCGTCCTGAGCCCTGTGCCCATGCAAGGAGGTGGGTCAGGAACTGCCAGGGTGAAGTGTCCAGAAGAGTCACTTCCTACTGGGTTAATTGGCTGGTGCTTTTGGGGTGGAAAGAGCAGAGGGAGGTATGAAGATGGGGACCCAAAGCCCAGGGCCATCCAGGTGCAGGGCAGGACCTGCAGTGGTGACCATACCTAGGACAGGGAGCTGGGGAGCCGGAAGCAGATCACCCAAACAGGAAGCCTGGGGTGGGGGCCGGAAGGCTGGGGAGGCTGAGTGGGGAGCACTGAGCCCTGGCCTGCCAGAACTACTCAGGATGTGGTGAGAGGAGGAGGAAGCAGAGCTTAGGGTGGGGGTGGAACGAAGCAGCGGAGCTCTGTAGACCCACACACCTCCCCCTTAGCCCTCAGCCAGGCTCATGAGGTGCTGCCCAACCCCTAGCTCAGGGATAGGAGGACTCCCACCCCCCCACCCCTTCCTTCCCTAAATAACTCATTTGCAGGCTAATTCCATCAGCCTTATTCAGAGAAATCCCAGGCCTGCCACTGGAGCCCAGAGGATGGGCTGTGGCTAGTGCCCTTCCCCAGAGGCCCCTCAGCTGAGACATTGGCCTCTCCCCTCTCCAGCCCCCTTGTGACCTTATATAGCTGATGAGAGAAGCCAATGAGTCACCCCCTCCATACCCCCCTCCACATGCCGGCTGTACATTCCTGGGAAGCCCAGTCAGAAGTTGGGGGGAGAGTCAAACATGGACTGAAAGCAAATAAAATGAGTCCTTTTTCAGAGTGGCTAATGAACTACGAAGCTTGTTATCCCGAAAGGGGATATAAAAAGAAAAGAGACAGAAGTGTGGGTAACCCTATCAGTAACTGAACCAAAGGTAGCCCCTTTGAGGAGTTGGGACTCTGTCAGCCATTTCACAGACACACTGGGGTCAGCTTTATATGGGCTAGCCCCCTCCCCACTGCTCCCCCAGCCTTGGTCCACTGTTGGGACCTCATCTGGGGTCTGGATGAACCGTTCCTTACCCAGTAAAGCATCTCCCATACTAACTTGTGTCGACAGCAGACACAAGTTAGTAAGTTCTCTGATAGGTTAGGAGGTGGTTATGGAGAAAAACAACAGGGATAAGTGGAAGCTAGAGGGCCAGGAGGTGAGAGGTGAAAATGACAACCTGATAATGGGGTGATTTGGAGAGAGCATTCCAGGCAGAGGGGGAACTGCCTGTGCAAAGGCCCTGTGGTGGGAGTGCTCCCAGGGGCCTGTGGGCTGGAGTGGAGTGCCCAAGAGGTGAGGGAGTGGCACAGGGCAGCATCCTCTAGATTTCGGTTAGTCTCTGGCATTTCCCCCAGTGAGATGGGGAACCAATGCAGTTTGGAGCCAGGGACTGACACAGTAGGAACCCATGTGGTAGCAACTTCCTGTCCAGCCACCCTCCAGGCTTCTCTTCTCACATCCCAGTGTGTTCAGAGACTCGAGGATGCAGGGAACGAGGCCCAAGTTTCTCAAAACAGATGCCAGGGAAGGCGGAATAGATCATCTGGACCTCCTCGAGTAGTTCACATGGAATCCTCCTGTTTGTCTGTGTAATGGCTTTGGCTTAATCCCACCCTGCCACTTCCCCCGAGCTTCTTTGGAGGGCAAAGGGGAAGGGTAGAACCGCAGTGAGAACAGCTGGGATTGTGTATGAAGGAGTTTCTGTCCCCTCCAGACCCCCTGTCCTGTATTTCGCCGCCGTCTCTGCATGTCCCTTCTGGTGCACTCTCCACCCCCACCCTATGTTTGCATGGACTTTCCTCTTCGCCCTTGTCACCTTTCAGGGACTCAAGTGCTTATCTTTTCCCCTATGTGTTGGGCAAGAGTCTCTCTTTCCTCTGGGCCCTCCTGTTGGTCTGCCCTTGCTTTTGCCTGACACTCTGTCCCCAGCCAGCTCAAATCTTACCGCCTCTGGGGGGACTTCCTGATTGCCTTAGGGCACCCAAAGACTCGGTTCTGATCACAGGACTTATTTCAATGTTTTTAAAATATGCCTTTATTGATTTTTTAGAGAGAGAGATAGAAACATCGGTGTGAAAGAGATACATTGATCAAGCTGCCTCCTGCAGGCCCCCACTGGGGATCAAGCACACAACCTGGGCATGTACCCTGACCGGGTATCCAACCGGACCTCTCAGTCCATGGGATGATGATGCTCAACCCACTGAGCCACATGGCTGAGCTTATTTCCATGTTTTTAAAGTCTGCTCACCCTTCTGCCTCCCACACTCTAAAGGGTTAGGATCCGTGGTCCTGTATCGCTCACCTCTGCTCCCAGGCTCCTGCCAAAGCTCAGGCCAAAGTCTCATGTTTTTGAAACGATGTGACTGAAGACGGAAAAATCTGGGATTGATTGGAGGGCGGATGGGGAGGGTAAAGTCAGCCGGGTGCCCAAATCCGGCCGCGCGCCACCTTGCACCTGGGAGCTGGGGGCTCACCTGCCTCCTCGCCGCGTTCTCGCCCTCCCTTCCGCAGCTCAAGATCTCCTTCAGTGAGACAGCCCTAGAGACCACGTACCAATACCCCTCCGAGAGCTCGGTGCTGGAAGAGCTGGGCCCGGAGCCTGAGGCCCCCAGCGCGCCCAGCGCTTCTGCGGCCCTGCCGGACGACGACGACGACGAGGAGGAGGAGCTGCAGCCGGGGCTCCAGGGCGGGCTGCGCACCAAGGCGCTGATAGTGGGTGAGCGGAGGCGCCGCTGGCGCGAAGGCGCCGCCTGGTGTTCAGAGCTGGCACTGCGGTCCCGAAGGAAAGGGGAGGACAATGTTGGCGCTAGAAGGCCTTGTCAGGTCCTTTGGTTCAACCCGCTCCTTTAACAGATGGGGAAACTGAGGTCCTGGCAAGCGAAGTGCACATCAGGTCTCCAGATTTTATTTATGTGTTTGTTTGTTTGTTTGTTTGTTTGTTTATTTATTTTTGTTTCCTGTTAATCCTCTCCAGAGGACATCTCACTTAGCATAATACCTTGTAGATCTGTCTACATTGTCGCAAATGGCAAGATTTTTTTTCCCCATTTTTTGTTCAGATAGAGTGGGAGGGAGAGAAGAAGAGAGTGAGAGAGAGAGAGAGAGAGAGAGAGAGAAACATCAACGTGAAAGGGACACATCGAGTGGCTGCCACCCGCACGACCAACCAGGGCCGGGGACAAACTGCAACCGAGGTACGCGCCCCTAGCGGGAACCCAACCTAAGTCTCTCTGGACCGCAGGCCGACGCTCTAACCGCTGAACAAAACCGGCCAGGGCTTCTTCTATTTTTTTTTAAATCCTCACCTGAGGACATGCTTAGCAAGAGGAAGGAGAGAGAGAGAGAGAGAAAGAGAGAGAGAGAGAGAGAGAGAGAGAGAGAGAGAGAGAGAGAGAAACATTGATGTGAGAGAGAAAATCGATTGGTTGCCTTCTGTACGTGCCCTGACTGGGGATTGAACCCACAACCCAGGTATGTGCCCTGATAGGGACTCAAACCAGCAACCTTTTGGTGCACAGGATGACGCTCAACCAAATGAGTCACTCCAGCCAGGCAAGATCTCATCCATTCATCTATCGACAGACACCTAGGTTGTTTCCATATCTTGGCTATTGTATATACTGCTGCAATGAACAGAGGGGTACATTTATCTTTTCAAATTAGCGTTTTTGTTTGCTTTGAATAAATACCTAGAAGTGGGATTGCTGGGTCATATGGTAGTTCTATTTTTAGTTTTTTGAGACATCTCCATATTGTTTTCCACAGTGGTTGCACCTGATTGTAGTCCCACCAACAGTGCACAAGGGTTCTCTTTTCTCCACATCCTTGCCAGCACTTATCTATTGACTTTTTTTTTTTTTTTAATCCTCACCCAAGGATATTTTGCCATTGATTTTCAGTTAGAGTGGGAGGGAGGAAAGGAGAAAGGGGGGGAGAGGGAGAAAGAGAAACATAAATGTGAGAGAGACACATCAATTGGGATTAGTTGCCTCCTGCACAACCTCGATTGGGGCCAGGGATCAAACTTGCAACCCAGGTACGTGCCCTTGAGGGAATCAAACCCATGACCTTTCGGTCCAAGGGCTGATGCTCCAACCTCTGAGCCAAACTGGCCAGGACAGGTCTCCAGATTTTAAAGCCAGGGCTCTTCCTGAGCACTCCAGTGTGGTTTAAAACACGGGGTTTGGCTCAGTCAGAATTCTGTCTCCTCTATGATTGTGACATCAGGGAAATAACTTGACTGTTGGTCTCAATTTATTATTAAAATGATAACTACCTCCTGGAGTTGTTCAGAGAGTTAGGTAAATTTCTTAAAAATGTTTTTATTGATTTTTAGAGAGAGCTAGAAACATCAATGACAGAGAAATATTGATCGGCTGCCTCCTGCACATTCCCTACTGGGGGTCAATCCTGAAACCTGAGCATGTGCCCTGACTGGGAATTGAACCAGTGACCTCTTGGTGCATGGGAGGATGCTTAATCCACTGAGCCATACCGGCTGGGTGGGTTAAATAATTTTTATGAAGTATCTAGAATCATGGCTGGACATAAAATTACTTAACCTCACCTGAGGTTATTGTGAGATTAAATGAGTTATAAGAATGCCTGGCACAGAATATGAGCTAAATGAGCATGGCTGCTGCTGTTACTAGTAGTAGCAAGCACTGAGGATATGGAAGATATCAGATGACTCACTTGTACCCCTGGCGGGACATGGGTGGGGAAAGCAGGAGGCAGAGCCCCACGCATTCTCCATCATTGTTGCCTTCTCTCCTACAGACGAGTCCTGCCGGAGGTGACCCTCTTCCAACACAGGAATATACCTTCCTCCTTCCCAGAACTGAAGGTCCTGGATCCCAGAAGATTCAGAGCAGACAACCCTGAAAATGAGCCTGGCAGGGAAGGGCAATCAACATCTTCCAACTTGCTTTCCTGGTCCTGTTTCTGGGGACAGAGCCCAAATTCCACCCTCACCCAAAGACCCCAGTGTGAGTGCCTCAGGTGTGCTCATGCACCCTAGATGACCCAAGTCCTGAGGGGGAGCACAGAGCTCACAGGATGGGGTGAGTGCAGGTGGAGAACCCCCTCCATCTCTGTGGACAGAGCATACTCTCCCTACAGCCTTCCTTGACTCACCCTTCCACCCTTGCAGATTTAAGCACTCACGTCCCGGGGAGGCCGGCCCCGGTCCTTTCATAGCACCTCTTCTCCTGCTCCTTAGGGCACTGCCCCTTTGTTTACAGCCCCAGCCTCCTTTTTGACCACAGCCTGGTTTACAAATAGCCAAAGTCCCACGTTTACAAGCCATGCCTGTTTCCCACGTCCATGTGAAATCCTCTCCCCTGTCCCCCAAGTTGCCTCACTGGTGGTGACCTGGGGGTGTGGCTTCCTCTACTTTTGCTCAGTATTTCTCAATCTCAGTTTTCTCCAAGAGGGAAGGCTGGGAATCTTAACTCTGTACCCCATCTGGTTATTTAATCCTGTGCCTCCTCATGGCTCACAAAGGAATTGAGCTGCAAGGGTGTGGGGTTACTAATGAAGCCCCTCAATTCTCCTCCCTATTTCTCCTTCCTCGTCAATTGCCTGTTTAAAAAAAAGACAAAAACAATTTTCATAATAAAGTGGAGCTCTTTCCAACTCTGCTGTTACTTCTTAGTCTTTAGAGAAAAAAGTGTATATGGGGATGCTCTGGGTTCTTCCTTCCAAGCCTCTGCCATCTTCCTATTGGCCAGGAAGAGGAAGTGGCCATGGCCTTGGGGAGAAGAATGACGGGGATGAACCAGGAACTCAGCACTGACCTTTAGAAAGGGCTTTAGGGGGTCGGGGGAGGGGCTACACCCATTTCTCAAAGGTCTGGAGGAAGGGCAGTTGAAGTATCCACTAGACATGGCCAGTGCCATGAGGGCAGACTATGCTGGTTGAGTTCAACCCCACGCCTGGCACCTAGCAACTAAAAAAGTTACTTCTGGAATGAACGATTCAACAAATAAATCAGTAGATGAAAACAGCTAAGAAACTGGAAGCAGAGGATATTCTGAACTGAAGGGTCCCAGTATTCAGAGTCCTACTGTAATACAAGCAGCCAGGGAGTGTGTGACACTGACTAATCCAGGGTTGTTTACTCCAAGACTCAGGACCACTAAATAATAAATCTGAAAAATACAGTGTATGTACAGAAGTGCAGTGTCCTGAAAAGGGGGTCTCCTCTCACAGACAACAGGTGTTCTTTAGGTATAAGATCCATCACTGCCCTGGCTGGGTAGCTCATTTGGTTGGAGCATCATCCCATACACCAAAAGATTGTAGATTTGATTCCTGGTCAGGGCACATACCCAGGTTTCAGGTTCAATCCCTGGTTGGAGTGGGTATGGGAAGCAACCTATTGATGTTGCTCTCTCTCTCTCTCTAAAATCAATGAAGACGTGTCCTTCGGTAAGAATTTAAAAAAAAAAAAAATCCATTGCTATTTCATGGCTTTGTTGCCCAAGTATAATTAATGAGATTTTCCCATTTCAGAGTTTCTATCTTCTGCAAATGTGGAAGATTATATTTATATATATATAAATATATATATATATTGATTTTTTAGAGAGAGAGGAAGGAAGAGATAGGAACATTGATGGGAGAGAGAAACATCGATCAGCTGCCTCCTGCATGCCCCCTACTGGGAATTGGGCCGGAAATCCAGGCATGCACCCTGACCTGGAATCAAACTGGGACCTCTCAGTCCATGGGACAGTGCTCAATCCACTGAGCCACAGCAGCTGGGTTTCAGTAGTCCTATTTATTTATTATAGGACCTATTATTTATGGTTCTATCACTAGAGGATGCTTCTCTCAGCCTAGTCAGAGGAGGTAACCCTTTACTGAAAACAAAACGTGCCCGGCCAGTGTGGCTCACTGGTTGAGCGTTGACCCTGCACCAAGAGGTCGCTGGTTTGATTCCTGGTCAGGGCACAAGCCCAGGTTGTGGGCCTGATCCACAGTGGGGGGCATGCAGGAGGCAGCCAATCAATGTTCTGTCTCATCAATGTTTCTGTCTCTCTCTCCCTCTCCCTTCCTGTATCTCTAAAATCAATAAAGAATTTAATGTAGAAATGTTCAACATAATTTTTTCCATTTGTACAGGGGTAATGCACTGCATTAAATATGTAAGGTCTTAATCTACATGGGTATGATTACAGAAACTAATAAAGCATTCTCTAAATAAAAACATAAAAAATATATATATATAGACCTGGCCAGTTTGGTTCAGCGGTTGGAGCATTGGCCTGTGGACCAGAGAGTCCCGGGTTCAGTTCCTGTTGGGGGCACATACCAAAAAAAAAAAAAATAATAATAAATAAATATAAATAAAATCGATAAAGAAAAAGAATATTAAAAAACAAAAACAGCCCTGGCTGGGTTTGGCTCAGCAGTTAGAGTGTCAGACCTCGGACTGAAGACCTGTGGGTTCAATTCTGGTCAAGGGCACGTGCCGTGGTTGCCATTTGGACCTCCGGTTGTGTGGGAGGCAACCAATCGATGTCTCTCTTTCTCTTTCTTTGTACCCCTCCCTCCTACTCTATCTGAAAACAAATGGAAAAATATCCTTGGGTGAGCATAAAAAATAAACTAGTCCGGCTGGTGTGGCTCAGTGGTTGAGCGGCGACCCATGGTCGCTGGTTTGATTCCCAGTTAGAGCACTTGCCCAGGTTGTGGGCCCGATTCTGAGTGGGGGGCATGCAGGAGGCGGCCAATCAATGATCTCTCTCATCAATGTTTCTCTCTCTCTCCCTCTCACTTCCTTTCTCTCTAAAATCAATAAAGGGAAAAACTTATTTAAAAATTTTTTTTACTTCCGGTCAAGATGGCGGGTACGTAAATGCTGTATCATGTCCTCCCACAACCACATCAAAGTTACAACTAAACTACAGAACAACCGTCATTCAAAACCGCCTGACATCAAGCTGAATGGAAGTCCTACAACTACGGAATTAAAGCAGCAGCCACATCCAGACTGGTAGGAGGGCGGAGGGGACGGGCTGGTCCCACACCCACGTGTGGCGGATAAACATCAGGAGGACACCTCAGCTGGGAAGGTCCTTCCTGAGGACTGAGGGGTCCCCGTCCCACACCAGGTGCCCCGCTCAGGGTTCCAGTGCCAGGAAGAGAATCCCCATCACTTCTGGCTGGAAAAACCAGCGGGAACTGAGGCTCAGGGAGGCTGAGGCGGCTGGAGCCCCAGGCAGCTCCTCTTAAAGGGCCCGCGCACGGACTTATCGGACTCTCTCCCTCTAAGCTTGGAGGGGAGGCAGCTCGAGGGGCACCAGAGACATACAGGGAAGAACTGAGCTGTTTGGCACTGGAGTGAGGGCTGGAGAGGTGTCTTTCTCCAGGACAAACGTGCTGTCAGAGGCCTTTGTTCCTTTGGTGAGCCCTTCCCGGGGGCAGCAGACAGCCGCCATATCTGGGACTCCAGCAACCTCGCTCACACTGGTAGCCCCACCCTGGTGATTCCCTGAGGCCCCGCCCCACCCAACTTTCAAGCCCACCCATGCTGTTGCCAGTTGCTTTACCATAGGATTGGCCTGTCTTGGACCCTACTTCAGGTTTTCCTAAATTCTTTCAAACAAGCAGCATCTGGTCTCAGCTAGACCCATACCTCTCATTAAGTAATACACAGAAACAAACACAGGGAGGCAGCCTTAATGAGGAGACAAAGAAACAGGTCCCAAATGAAAGAACAGAACAAAATTTCAGAAAAAGAATGAAGCGAAATGGAGATAAGCAACCTAACAGATGCTGAGTTCAAGACACTGCTTATAAGGATGCTCAACAAACTTAGTGAGAACCTCAGTGAACTTAGTGAGGGCCTCAAGAGCATAAAAAAAGACCAGTCAGAAATGAAGGAAGCATTAACTGAAATAAAGAATAATGTACACAGATTCAATAATAGAGTAGGTAAAGCCAAAAAGCAAACCATCGATTTGGAATCTAAGGAAGCAAAAAACACCCAATCAGAACAGCAAAAAGAAAAAGAATCCAAAAAAATGAGGATAGTATAAGGAGCCTCTGGGACAATTTCAAGCGTGCCAACATTCGCATCTTGGGGGTGCCAGAAGGAGAAGAGAGAGAACAAGAATTCAAAAACCTATTTGAAACAATAATGGCAGAATTTAGGGAAGGAAACAGATATACAAGTCTAGGAAGCACAGAGAATCCCATACAAGATGAACCCCAAGAGGTCCACACCAAGACACAGCATCATCAAAATGCAAAAAGTTCAAGATAAAGAGAGAATCTTTTTTTTATCCTCACCCGAGGACATTTTTCCATTTTTTGTTTAGACAGAGTAGGAGAGAGAGAGAGAGAAACATCTACATGAAAGGGACACATCAAGTAGCTGCCACCCACACAACCCAACCAGGGCCGGGGACAAACTGCAACCAAGGTATGTGCCCTTAGCGGAACCGAACCCGGGACTCCCTGGACCGCAGGACGACACTCTGTTGAGCCAAATCAGCCAGGACTGTAACCACAGCTTTTTAATCCACTCATCTACTGATGGACACTTGGGCCGTTTCCAGATCTTAGCTATTGTAAATAGTGCTGCTATGAACATGGGGGTACATATATTCTTTCTGATTGGTGTTTCAGGTTTTGTAGGGTAGTTTGGAGATTTTTTTTTTTTTTTATCCTCACCCGAGGACATTTTTCATTTTTTGTTCAGATAGAGTGGGAGGGAGAGAGAGAGAGAGAAACATTGATGTGAAGGGACACATCGAGTGGCTGCTACCCGAACGACCAACCAGGGCTGGGGACAAACTGCAACCGAGGTACGTGCCCTTATCGGGAACCGAACCCGCGTCTCTCTGTACCGCAGGCCGACGCTCCAACCGCTGAGCCAAACCGGCCAGGGCTGGAGATCTTTTAAAGCTACTCCCTGAGATAGCATGAAGAAAAGCAAAGCACCTTTGTTTTTTTCCCCCAGATCCCCACTTTCTTCCTGCCTACAAGTCCTCACTTATGCCTAGCCTGTATTCACTCCTGCTGCAGGTAGGGGTCCCAGCAATGGTCACTCTTAATCAGTATGGGCTAGTTTGAAATGGAATCCCAACATACATCTTGCATTTTTTCGGCTCTATTGTTCTGTTTATTATGTATTTTATCTTCCCCCTTCGGTAAGGGGTTTTTGTCTGATTTGTTCTTTGCTATATCCCCAGCGACTAAAATTGTGTCTAGTACACCTCAGGCGCCAGCATTTGTTGAATTAATGGATGAGTGAAGCATCCATAAATGACCACCAGGGGGCGGCAGAGAGAGAATCCGTAGGTCGGAGAAGAAAATGTTTTACCGGAACTACGGGTTCCGCAAGGTTTGAACTTGCTCGGCCACCGTAGCTCTCTGGTGAAAAAAGTGCGTGCAGCCGGAAGAGGTCCTTGGTCCAGGACAACCATTTGGGCTGTTCGAAACCGAACCATAAGGTCCTCAGGCGGCTCCTTTGCGGAGCTGAGGCTCCGGTCCGGGCTCCGGGCCCCGACCTGCCCGGTCGACAGCGCGGCTGCCCGAGACCTTTCCGGGAGGCGCACCGGGAGCGTGGTCGCCATGGCGACGCCGGCGGGTCTCGAGCGCTGGGTGCAGGACGAGCTGCACTCGGTGCTGGGGCTCAGCGAGCGGCACGTGGCTCAGTTCCTGATCGGTACCGCGCAGCGCTGCGGCTCGGCCGAGGAGTTCGTGCAGCGCCTGCGAGACACCGAGACCCTGGACCTCAGCGGGCCGGCCCGGGACTTCGCCCTGAGACTCTGGAACCAGGTGTCTGGGGCCGGGCCGGCGGGGGAGGGCGGAGCAGGGGAGGGGCAGTGGGTAGTGGTGCAGGGGTGGCGGGCTAACGGGAGTTAAGGAATAAGCTCAGTTCGTAAGCACCGACCCTCGGTCCGCGTCGCCCGAGTGCCGCGCTGGGTGCTGCACGCCCAGCGCAGTGAAGACCCGGGAGGGCCAAGTGTGTTAGGTTAAGTGTTAGCAGCGGTGCCTCGATCTTGAATGTGCATACATTTATCCAGGGCCCGTGTTAAGGTGCAAATTCCGATTGGGTAGGTAGAATGAGGTCTTAGCTTCTACATTTCTAACAAGTTTTTTTTTTTTTTTTTAATTTCCCCCTTTTCATTTATTTTAGAGAGAGAGGAAGTAGAGGATGAGAGAGAACATCGATTGGCTGCCTCCAGCATGTCCCCCAAAGGGTATGGGGCCCACAGCCTGGGCATGTGTCCTGACCGGAATGGAACCCGCGACCTC